TATATCTAAGTTATCGTATGACTTTTTAAATTGACATATTTGGCACACAACTTCATCTGGAAGTCTATCTTCGTGGCTATCTCTTAGAGTAGGAGACGTGGCTGCTCCGAAATCTTCCAGTTTGTTTACAATTTTTTTTTTCAGCGAGGACCTCATATCACTGTACCATACTCTAGAAGGTGTAATGATCTATACGCACACGGATGCCTTCTTCATGTTGGCAAAAAGTCCTAGCATTTCATGGATATTTATTTTATTAATATGGTCGTTTGGGCTTGAGTTCATGCTTATGCTTATTCCAGACTTTTTCCCTATTAGCTGTGAATACTGTCTCCTAATTTGTATTGGTATAGTGGACGATCGCTCTGACTATCTAGCATTAATGTGTTGGATTTAATTTTCCAAGTACAAGTCCACGTAAATAAGTTTCCGATGTCACTTTCAAGGTATTGGCATGAGATTCGTATATTATTATTATAATAATAATAATTATTATTATTTTAGTATATTCGCGTCGTTTGCAAACATTGGGCTTTTGTTTGTCCTAAATCATTGATGAAAATAGTAAAACATACTTGGCGCCAACAGCGATCCTTGAGGCAGTCCGCTGTTACTCGTCGCCATGTAGAATGCTTCCTCTAATAACGGTGCTCATCTGTCTTTCATCCATTCGATGAGTTTACCTTTCACTCCACCTAGGTGTTTAATTTCTATTTGCCTTCTATGAAACACCTCATCAAAGGCCTTTTAAAAGTCCAAGTACACAATTCATCCAACCGTCTCTTTCTTGCAATATTTCAAAAACATGAAAAATATGGATATGCTACACATGACCTTCCTTCCTTAAAACCAAATTGTTTATCTGGTATCATTTAGTATTTGTTGAGTACTTCAACCCATATTTCCTAATTATCCTTTGTACAGCTCCCTTACTACATAGTTAACGACCATGGTCTCTAAGGGTGTAACGCTGGCGATTTTCAAACTTTTGGTAGTTCACTTGTCACTGAATTTTTGAACATCAGCTATAAAAGAGTACATATCGTTATACAGATTCCCTAAGAGCCCATTTAAAACCTCATCTGGTCCCTCTGCTTCCGTCTTGTCTAACCTTTCAGTAGGTCTTTTATTTCATTCTTATGGGAGGAGGATGTTTGTACGGTTATTTGCATTTAAAAGTATGGGTCCTGAACATACACAGACTGAAATTTGTCATTAGGATGTCACGCATACCCTCCTCCTTAATTGTCTTCGTGGCGCTAATTTGACCTCTACTATTAATCTTACTATTGATGCAGTTAAAGACCTTTAACATTTATTGATTATACTTTTCAATCTGATTTTGGCTCCCCATGGTTTGGTGGTACTCATTTCTTCTTTATATTTTTCATATGCTTGGTAAATCTTTTCCAAGGGAGGTGCTTGTTTTGTCTCATTTACCATTCAACCACTGTTGGCCATTATTGCTACAGTTCTGAATCTTGATATATT